CGGCTCCAGAAAAGTGTACTGTGTGGTGAATGTGACAGCAGATCAAGGTACGCTAGATAATTCTTTTCTTTTCTCCCGTTTCGTTTTTTCCCCAGTAGAAGTTAAGAATAACCACCCCCTACCCTCCTTAAACCCCAATGTATTCACACTTTACGACGAATATACCTTGTGTGTCCTGTTCCTGTAAGACATAATATTGTAGTAACCCATAGAGTTATCTCCTTTTAAACTTCGTGTACATTTTGAGCCTATAGTACACATCTATGTAGTAACCTCACTGTGGCCACCACGCTGACCGTAGATGATGCGCACTACGCCAACCAGTTCGGAATGTACGGAGCTGTACACGTAGGTCTACTTCCACCCCTCCCCCCCCCCCTTGCTTGTTCTGAGAGGCCAAGAAAACGACGGATTGATGTAGTCAAAGATATAGTGCAAAGGAACAAAATGACGATCCAAACAGCAGCACACATGGGCACTTCCCCTGGACACGTCGTAAATAAAAGGACAGAACGAACAAAAGTAAAGTTTGATAATTAGGCTGACGTCACCAGACGCTGCAACACAATAACACAAGACTAGCTTGAGGACCTCTATAAGAATGAAAGTAGAATCGGAAAGGTTTATGTTCAGCTAATCAGATCCTATCACATCCTTTGTGAAGTGAATTCGCTGTCTTGTTGGAGACTGATAAATTTTGCATCCTGCCACTTTTCTGTGCTTGACATTACTTGAGAGGGGGGAGGGGGGGGGGGGCGGGGGAGGGGGATATTTCCTGAGTACATGTATTTCGTAAACAAAGTCATCGAACATACGGGAAACTGAAAAGTGTTCTGTCTCCAGCAATGCTTTCATTATCATAAGATAGCTTTAGTTAAAGTAAAAAAAAAAAAAATCAGCAACAGTCTAATGTCTTGTATTTATGTCATGAAGAGTAAAATCGTGAACAGGACACGCACTGTCAAGAGGAAGACAATTTTTACCAAGAAAGGACGATCCCCTTAGACTTTCTTTCTTCTTTTTTTTTCCAAATAGCCATGAAAATGTTACTACATCATGTTTGAAATGTTAACCTTTGATTTAAATCTAAAGCCTATAATTACAAAATATTCTATAAGGCCCAGATGTTTTTTGTCTTTTTTGGTAAGTGTTTTTCGGCGTTCGCAACTGCATAAGGTCAAATGAGCGCGCGGGACACATTAAACTTTTTCAGTAGGTAAGAAATTTTAGATTTTGCCCCGGTGGCTGCCGAAGCCTACTCTTATCGATTTTAGACCACCAAGGGATCTTTAACGTTCACAACTTGCACACGGGCCCAAATGTACAACCTAAACAATTTCTAACGCAGCCACATTATAAAATATATTAATTGATATGATGGTCCGACGCCGCAAAGAAGATGGATATGTTCAGCGAAACTCGTCTGGGTTAAAACTAGGACTATGTGTTTAGTCTAATAAGACACGGCAGACTAATAGTGTCTCAGCTTACTGCTAATTTTTAGACCCGGCTATCAGTTTCTTTGTACTCTGAACCACTAAGATGAAAAGAAGAAGTAGCTCTGTTTACCGTCTACCCAGAATTATTTATACTTCCTTGGTGGATCCTTTCAGGTTGGCGTGTCTTCGTTAATAGGGAATGCTGAGCTCAAGAAAACACGTTCAATGGCATACAGGCATTACAAAAATCTCCACTAAAAATTAAACTTCCTCGAAAGCGAATGCAAAATAGAAGCGCGGGAGCACATACGCACGTACACACACACACACACACA